ACAGAATTTGTAATAAAATATTATTAAATATAAAGCATAACATCTTCTAAGCCCTATTCAGCTTCGTCTTTATTAAGAAATTCACCTTCAAACTGAAAACAAAATCTCTCTCAAACACTGTCAAACCTCTCTAATTCTTTTATAATCAATCATCCCAAATCCAATTCATTATCATTAGATTCAACTCAGATTACCCATCCCATTTTATTATAATTAAAAACGTGTGTGTGTTTGAATTTAACACACAAAACTAAATTAAATAATAAACAAATAAACCGACTGACGACGCACGTTCATATCACGAAAATTGATACGAAAAAAAAAACCTAATATAAACTAATATTAAAAAATTAAAACAAACATCATCAAAGGTCAAAATATAGAACATTAGACGAATCGTAGTCGAGTGTAACAACAAGAACAACAATAACAACAAGTACAATCACAATTGTGTTCTGCTGACATTAGACAAAAAGAGAAATGTTTTTTTTCTATTTAAGAAATAATTAACTAAACTAAAATATACGTTACAATATAACGTCATTACAAAAATTATGATCACGATCGTAGTGATGATCATGATGATGTTGTTGTTGTTTTTGATCACAATAATTGCCATGATGTTGATAATGATGACGGTGATGATGCGACAAAAAAAATTTAATAAAATCGTACAGACAAATGTTATTTATTTGATGATGCAGCTTTAAATGAACAGTAAAGCAAATTAGCCTACTATAGCACGAATTGTAGTCCAGCTTTATAGTCTGGACTACAGCACAGTCTTCCTCCTAAACTAAAATCGAAGCTATTGTATGAACAATGCTTTCTATTAGCGACTATGATTCAGTTCATAGTCTAATATGTAACCTATACGCTATTGACTAGACAAAACTATAGACTGAACTATAGACTAGACTAGACTATACACCAGACTATAGACTAGACTACTGACTAGACTATAGACTAGACTATAGACTAGACTATAGACTTAACTATATAATAGATTATAGACTAGACTATAGACTGGACTATAGAATAGCCTAAAAAGAGATTATAGACTAGACCTTACACTAGACTATAGACTGGACAATAAACTAGACTATAGACTAGATTATAGACTAGACTATAGACTAGACTATAGACTAAACTATAGACTAGTCTAAAGACTACACTATAGACTATACTATAGATTACACTATAGACTAGACTATAGACTACACTATAGAGTAGACTATAGACTAGACTATAGACTAGACTATAGGCTAGACTATAGGCTAGACTAGAGACTAGACTATAGACTAGACTATAGACTAGACTATAGACTAGACTATAGACTAGACTATAGACTAGACTAGACTAGACTAGACTACTATAGACTAGACTATAGACTAGACTATAGACTAGACTATAGACTAGACTATAGACTAGACTATAGACTAGACTATAGACTAGACTATAGACTAGACTATAGACTAGACTATAGACTAGACTATAGACTAGACTAGACTATAGACTAGACTATAGACTAGACTATAGACTAGACTATAGACTAGACTATAGACTAGACTATAGACTAGACTATAGACTAGACTATAGACTAGACTATAGACTAGACTATAGACTAGACTATAGACTAGACTATAGACTACACTATAGACTAGACTATAGACTAGACTATAGACTAGACTATAGACTAGACTATAGACTACACTATAGACTAGACTATAGACTAGACTATAGACTAGACTATAGACTAGACTATAGACTAGACTATAGACTAGACTATAGACTAGACTATAGACTAGACTATAGACTAGACTATAGACTAGACTATAGACTAGACTATAGACTAGACTATAGACTAGACTATAGACTAGACTATAGACTAGACTATAGACTAGACTATAGACTAGACTATAGACTAGACTATAGACTAGACTATAGACTAGACTATAGACTAGACTATAGACTAGACTAGACTATAGACTAGACTACACACTAGACTATAGACTAGACTATAGACTAGACTATAGACTAGACTATAGACTAGACTATAGACTAGACTATAGACTAGACTATAGACTAGACTATAGACTAGACTATAGACTAGACTATAGACTAGACTATAGACTAGACTATAGACTAGACTATAGACTAGACTATAGACTAGACTATAGACTAGACTATAGACTAGACTATAGACTAGACTATAGACTAGACTATAGACTAGACTATAGACTAGACTATAGACTAGACTATAGACTAGACTATAGACTAGACTATAGACTAGACTATAGACTAGACTAGAGACTAGACTATAGACTAGACTATAGACTAGACTATAGACTAGACTATAGACTAGACTATAGACTAGACTATAGACTAGACTATAGACTAGACTATAGACTAGACTATAGACTAGACTATAGACTAGACTATAGACTAGACTATAGACTAGACTATAGACTAGACTATAGACTAGACTAGACTACACTAGACTAGACTATAGATTAGAATATAGACTAGACTATAGACTAGACTATAGACTAGACTATAGACTAGACTATAGCCTAGACTATAGACTAGACTATAGACTAGACTATAGACTAGACAACAGACTAGACTATAGACTAGACTATAGACTAGATTATAGACTAGACTATAGACTAGACTATAGCCTAGACTATAGACTAGACTATAGACTAGACTATAGACTAGATTATATACTAGACTATAGACTAGACTATAGACTAGACTAAAGACTAGACTATAGACTAGACTATAGACTAGATTATAGACTAGACTATAGACTAGACTATAGCCTAGACTATAGACTAGACTATAGACTAGACTATAGACTAGACTATAGACTAGATTATATACTAGACTATAGACTAGACTATAGACTAGACTAAAGACTAGACTATAGACTAGACTATGGACTAGACTATAGACTGGACTATAGACTAGACTATAGACTAGACTATAGACTAGACTATATACTAGACTATAGACTAGACTATATACTAGACTATATACTAGACTATAGACTAGACTAGACTATAGACTAGACTAGACTATAGACTAGACTATAGACTAGACTATAGACTAGACTATAGACTAGACTATAGACTAGACTATAGACTAGACTATAGACTAGACTATAGACTAGACTATAGACTAGACTAGACTATAGACTAGACTATAGACTAGACTATAGACTAGACTATAGACTAGACTAGACTAGACTATAGACTAGACTATAGACTAGACTATAGACTAGACTATAGACTAGACTATAGACTAGACTATAGACTAGACTATAGACTAGACTATAGACTAGACTATATACTAGACTATAGACTAGACAATAGACTAGACTATAGACTAGACTATAGACTAGACTATAGACTAGACTATAGACTAGACTGTAGACTAGACTATAGACTAGACTATAGACTAGACTATAGACTAGACTATAGACTAGACTATAGACTAGACTATAGACTAGACTATAGACTAGACTATAGACTAGACTATAGACTAGACTATAGACTAGACTATAGACTAGACTATAGACTAGACTATAGACTAGACTATAGACTAGACTATAGACTAGACTATAGACTAGACTATAGACTAGACTATAGACTAGACTATAGACTAGACTATAGACTAGACTTGACTAGAATAGACTATAGACTAGACAATAGACTAGACTATAGACTCGACTATAGACTAGACTATAGACTAGACTATAGACTAGACTATAGACTAGACAATAGACTAGACTATAGACTAGACTATAGACTAGACTATAGACTAGACTATAGACTAGACTATAGACTAGACTAGACTATAGACTAGACTATAGACTAGACTATATACTAGAATAGACTAGACTATAGACTAGACTATAGACTAGGACTATAGACTAGACTATAGACTAGACTATAGACTAGACTATAGACTGACTATAGACTAGACTATAGACTTGACTATAGACTAGACTATAGACTAGACTATAGACTAGACTATAGACTAGACTATAGACTAGACTATAGACTAGACTATAGACTAGACTATAGACTAGACTATAGACTAGACTATACTATAGACTAGACTATAGACTAGTCTATAGTCTGTATTATAGTTTAGTTTATACTCAGGTTTTAAATTTGGTCTATAGTCTAGTCTTTACTCCGGTCTGTCATCTACTCTATAGTCTATATTATAGTCTGGTCTTTAGTCAAGTCTTTAGTCTAGTGTATAGTCTATTGTATGGTCTAATCTATAGTCTAGTATGTATTCTAGTCTTTAGTCTAGACGGTCCGCTAATCTATAGTCTAGTCTGTCGTATAGTCTATGTTCTAGTATTGTCAATAGTGTATGCTGTAGTCCACTTTGTTGCCTATTCTTTAGTCTAGGCTGGGTCAGTCTATAATATAGTCAATAGTTTTGTCTATAGTCTATTCTATGTATAGTCTTGTCTATAATCTACTATGCTGTAGCCTTGCTTATTGTCTAGTCTATAGTCTATATTCTGGTACATTATTTGTCTACCCTTTGATCTGATCTATAGTTTAGTATATAGTTTAGTCTATAGTAAAGTTTTAAATCTTCGTGTTAATATAGCTTTTGTCCCACTGTTTCCTATAAACCAATGTATATTTTAGATTGTACTAAACTTCCAACAATAGTTTTTACCGAAAAAGAACACCTCCCTTAATGATTGACCCGCATTATGGAAAATAAAACCAAATGAAACATAACAAATTGTTGAGCTATTATGTTTGAAAAAAAAAATTCTAAATAAAAATAAAGAAAAATTTATACAAAAAAAGAATAAAAAAAAATAATCTTTTGAAATTATTTAAATTGTTTATAAGTGTAAGTTTTAAACCAATACAAGCTTAACATTATTTCAACAACAGCGGCATTTAAATATTAGAGCAAAGCTTCCAACTAGAGAACGAAACTTAAATGAATTTAGTCAATAATAACGGTGCGGTTACTCAACAACTTATAGAGCAAACGAAATATTTGAAAAAAATTTTGAATAAAAAAAAATTTTAAGAAATTAAAAAAGATATTTTTGATAAAAGCTGTAGAATAAATGAATTATAGTAAAGGCGTATTTAAAGCGGAAGCGGATTTGATGGAAGAAGAACAAGATTAAGACAAGTTTCCTGTTTAATTATAGAAAGAAAGGGAGAGAGAGTTAAAGAAAATCAATCAACCTTTAAAGCATTGAACAATAATAAAAACACAATTAAATTATAGAGAGAGTGAGAGAGAGAAGCTTTATTAACAACTTTTAATTGAACGAGAAAGAGAGTGAACAAGTGTTGTAGAGAGTGTTATACAGTGTGTGATCATTTTGTGCTGGTGATATAAGCAAGAGAGTGAGAGTAACAAATGTGTAACGGTGAATATGTTAAATGATCTAATACATACACACACACAAACGTTAAGTTGAAAAGTTTAAAAAAAAAACTAACGGTTGTTGTTTAAAGTGTTGGTGAGCTGTGTGTATGTGAATGAATTGTTGAATTCTTTATAGTTTTGTATTTCAATGTATGGACCGAGCTGTGAGCGCAGTTTATGACGAGCGGTGTTCAAAATATCAAGCAAATAACGTTAAAGCGCGCTTACGCGATCGTTTTGCGCTGGAAATTTGTTTTTACACCTCTACAACAAAAACACAAGAAAATTTCTTATTGAAAAAAGAATTAAAACGAAATACCGTCGCTTGTTGAAAAATAAAAAGTTTTAAAATAAAAATTTTTAAAAAAAAAAGTTAACATTTTTGTTAAAATATAAAAAAAAAATCAATGAAATTCCTTTAAGAAATACAACAAAAACAAACTAAAAAACCTTTAACAAAGCTTACAATACAACAACACACAAAATGGAGGATTATTGGGGTTTAAGCAGCAGTACGGGTATAAAAAAAATATTTAAAAAAATTAATTAATTTCCCACAACTCGAGGCGTATACTTAATATTTATTTAAATTTTTTTTAAAGTTTTTTCTTTAAAAAACAAGTTTTTATGTTTATTTACTCAAGCGTTACCGAACCAATAAAAAAAAAAATTTTAACAAAATTCTAAAACTAGTTTAATATTATTTTATTTAAATCTCCACCACATGTCTGTATGTCATTTAAATAAATTCTTTTTTTTCACTTTTTTTTGCAAATCGTGTGTAATTAAAAACTTTGTTTAACTAAATGCCCACAACAACAACAACAACATTAAAAAACAAAAAAATGTGCTTAATTGTTGTAATATATAAATAAACTAAATACAAAAAAAAAATAATAACAAATAAACAAATAGTTTAAAAAATGTCTAAAATATTTCAACAATTTGTAAAATATGTGTAAACGTGCAAATAACAAAATAATTTTTGCCGGTGTAATTTGTCATTCAAAGTTTATGAGCCCCTTTAGCAGCACGTTTTAAGCTTAAACTATTTATTTTGCAAAAACATTGCTCTATGAAGGTATTATCTATCAGATATTCAGAAACACAGTTTCCCAAACAGGCCTTCTAAGGCATGTAATATCTGAAATATTATCGTTTCCAAGCTATTTGCCTCTAATTTCCACAAAAACCTGGCGATGCGAAAGAAGGTTTTCCAGTCCTTCTCAGGATTCCCTAAACAGTCCTCCTAAGGTATATAATATCTGTAAAAACATCGGTTCCAAGCTATTTGGATATAATTTCGACGAAAACTTGGATTCCCCAAACAGTCCTTTTAAGGGATATAATATCTGTAAAAACATCGGTATTTGGAGGTAATTTCCATGAAAACTTGGCAAAGCGAAAGAAGTCTTTCCAGTTCTTCTCAGGATTCCCCAAACAGCCCTCTTAAGGCATGTAATATCTGAAATAACATCACTTCCCAGCTATTTGGATCTAATTTCCACAAAAACCTGGTAATGCGAAAGAAAGTTTTCCAGTCCTTTTCAGGATTCTCCAAACAGTCCTCCTAAGGCATGAATTATCTGAAATAGCTTCGCTTCCAAGCTCTTTGGATCCAATATCGACAAAAACCTGGTAATGTGAAAGAAGGGTTTCCAGTCCCCCCTTTAATTCCCCAAACAGTCCTTCTAAGAGATATATTATCTGTAAAAACATCGGTTCCAAGCTATTTGCATCTAATTTCCATGAAAATATGGCAAAGCGAAAGATGGTTTTCCAGTCCTTCTCAGGATTCCACAAACAGTCGTCCTAAGGGATATAATATCTGTAAAAACATCGGTTCCAAGCTATTTGCATCTAATTTCCATGAAAATATGGCAAAGCGAAAGAAGGCTCTCCAGTCCTCTCCTCATACACTTCATATACGTTTGAATCCGTTCATCCAATTTCGTGTAACCACTCAGAATAGGTAGTATCCTGGCTAACCTCGAACTTTGTTCATTCTCATGAGGCTTTCCGACCTCTTCCCATTGTTACACACCGTTGCATTATTCCAAGTGTGAAGCTGTAAGGCATAATATCTGTAAAAACATCGGTTCCAAGCTATTTGGATATAATTTCGACGAAAACTTGGCAATGCGAAAGAAGGTTTTCCAGTCCTTCTCAGGATTCCCCAAACATTCCTCCTAAGGGATATAATGTCTGTAAAAACATCCCTTCCAAGCTATTTGCCTCTAATTTCCACAAAAATGTGGTAATGCGAAAGATGGTTTTCCAGTCCTTCTTAGGGTTCCACAAACAGTCGTCCTAAGGGATATAATATCTGTAAAAACATCGGTTCCAAGCTATTTGCATCTAATTTTCATGAAAACCTGGCAAAGCGAAAGAAGTCTTTCCAATCCTCCTTAGGATTCCCCAAATACTCCTCCTAAGGCATGTAATATCTGAAATAACATCGCTTCCCAGCTATTTAGATCGAATTTCCACAAAACCTGGTAATGCAAAAGATGGTTTTCCAGTCCTCTCTACATGCTCTCTATATACGTTTGAATCCATTCATGTAATTTGGTGTATTCACTCGGAATAAGTACCATCATGGCTAAATTCGGACTTTATTCATTCTTACTAGGCTTCTCGTCCTCTTTTCATTGTTACACATCGTTTCATTATTCCAAATATGGGGCTGTAAGGCATTCTCCTGCCAATATTTTTCGTTCAGCCGAAGGGTTTTGTATTCATCAATTTCCTCGAATTCCCTTCCTTCAGTTCCTATTTACTCCTTTACAGGGAAAATATTGGTGGGAAAATCTTATATAGAGCATTATAAAGGCATTATCTATTACCCGATGTTCAAAAACTTAGTTTCCTGGACGATGATCCTTCTGTGTTTGTGAACATTTGAACCCATTTTCGATGAAAACCTGGAGAGTTTTCTGTCCTTTTGTACCGAATAAGGTTATGATAGTTCTTTAGGGATATAACATCTCGAATAACATCGCTTCCAAGATGTCTGCATCTATTTTCAACGAAAACCTCGCTTTGACAAAGAGAGTGTTTCAGAGTTGCATGCTCCCTAGGTACGTTTGAATCTGTTCGATAAATTTTGTGTGCCCTCACAGATCCTCTGGTATACTATTGCCAATTTTTCTAATTCAGTGTTCAGAAACTCATTTTCCTAGACGTTGCTCCTTAGAATTTTCCAATCTGTGTTCGTCAACATTGCTCCCAAGATATTTGAATCTATTTGCGATGAAATCCTGGCCATGACAATGATAGTGTTTCAAAGTTTTATAGTCCTCTGGCAACGAACGGTTTTGCATTTAACAGGTTTTTTCATAGAGTTTATCTTCCTTCCTAGTTTTCTAATAAGTTATTAACTTCCGTTGTTTAGCAACTTAGTTTACTGGACTTACTTTTGTTTTGAAACTCAGTTTTCTGAACTTTATTTCTCGAATAATATCGATTCCAAGATGTCTGCATCTATTTTTGATGAGTTTCGTAGAGTTTCTTACCCTCCTAATTCTCTATTAAGTTATTAACGTTCGTTGTTTAGAAACTCAGTTTCCTGGACTTAGTAAGGGATATAATAACATGGCTTTCAAGATGTCTGCAAAGAGACATAGACATTTTGTGTGTCCTCACAGAACCTCGGATTTGTTCACGCTTGCTCAGGCTTGTCATACTCATCTAGTTGTGGTCATTTCATAGGATCTACGTGGTTCTACCATTCCATTATTTCAAGTGATCGCAAGGCATTCCTCGGCCAATGTTTCTAGTTCAGCCCTCCTTGTTTCGAAGGGTTTGAATTCGTTAATTTCCTTGAATTTCCTTCCACCAATTCCCATTCCTCCTTTACAGGGAAAATGTCGGTATTATCTATCATCCGATAGATAATGATAAAAGAAAATGTTTCAGAGTTTCAATGCATGCTCTCTAGAACCTCGGATTTACTCACACATGCTCAGGTTTGTCATACTTATCTAGTTGTGGTCATTCCATAGGATCTACGTGGTTCTACCATTCCATTATTTCAAGTGATCACAAGGCATTCTGCGGCCAATGTTTCTAGTTCAGCCCTCCTTGTTTCGAAGGGTTTGAATTCGTTAATCTTCTTGAATTCCTTCCACCAGTTCCCATTCCTCCTTTACAGGGCAAATGTCGGTATCCAATATTCAAAAACTCTGTTTCCTAGACGTTGCTCTTTACAATTTTCCAAACTGTATTGTTCCCATTGCTTCCAAGATATTTGAATCTGTTTTCGATGAAAGTTTGGCCAACACAAAGATAGTGTTCTCATAGAGTTTCCTTCCTAGTTCCCTATTAAGTTATTAACGTCCCTTGTTTAGAATCGCTTCCAAGATGTCTGCATCTATTTTCGACAAAGAGAGAGTTTCGGAGTTTCAATGCATGCTCTCTAGGTTCGCTTGAACCTCGGATTTGATCACGCTGAATAGACTTTTCATCCTCTTGTTCAGAAACTGAGTTTCCTGGACGTTGCTCGTTAGAATTTTCAAATCTGTATTCAAGAGGGAATTACACCGCTCCTAAGATATTTGAATCCTCTAGCATCGATCGATTTGATAGAGTTTCGTTCTCAGTTTCATGGACGTTAAGCCCAGAAACTTTTCAATGATAAAGAACGTATTCTAGCAATTCACTACCCTCTCCGCATGCCCATCATACATTTATTTGAAAATGTTCGTCAAATTTTGTCACCACAAAGGATCTTTTGGTTCTACCCACTGTGGCCGCATTGGTTTCTCTCGTCCATGTTTTTAAATCAGCCCTTCTTGCAACGAAGGGTTTTGTTTTCGTCTAGCTAACTTACTCGAGTTGTCTTCCTTAATGCATAGCTTCTTTCTTAGTCCAATAGGGTCTTAGATTTAACCTTATCAGTTTAACTTCCTCAAGTTCCCTTTGTTTTATAGCAATTACTTTCACAGAGTGGCTATTGCAAAGCATACCCCTGGAAAGATATTTGACATAGGAATACCTTCTTAGATTTAACCTTATCACCTAATATTGACCCGATTGGCTTCTATATGTCTGTAAATATTTCAGCCTTTGTTGATGCCACATTTATTCTCATCCATTTTAGAAATTCTCTTATTGCACGGACTTCTGCTGGAAGCTAGTGTTCTGATTAGACCCGGTTTATGCCACAATTTAGTTTACTAACGAATTCCTATGGGTATTTACTCTAAGGTTCCATTCCGAAATCCTCAGAGCTTTCCTAAACACGCTACAATATCACCCACGACCAGACCAGAGTAACAGACAAACGCTTTATCTGACTAATTTCCCAAATATCAAACATACTCAATTCCAATTGAGGAGCAAAAATTTTCTCATGCCTTTCGAAGGAGGTCCGATAAATAGAAATCAATGGTGGTATGTAATGAATAATATGGCGTCTAATAGCTTCTAGAATTTACGGCTGTAACAACGTTGTTTGCTTGATCCCTAATATGACATGATTCATGAAGCTTACCAAAGTCAGATTTTGGTCCAATAA